TGTTGGTCAGGGTAGTCTAAGAGACTCCCAAAATAACACAGGCTATTGCCACGGCCCTTGATTACCTCCCAGAACTTGAAGGTAAGACCCTATTGCTGAAGACAGGTCATACTTTGGACATGGGACTTGGAGCAATGGAGCTGGAACTGACCTGGAAGCTTCCTCCCCTAAGAGTAACTCTCATAGTTCTAGAGGACACTATGCAAGCTGCCAAGGGAGAAAATCAATCAATGGTCCAGCCCAGCCCTAAAGCCTAATAACCACAACACCTGGCACACCGAGCCATCTCTACTGGTGCAGTAGTGGCACTTTTACCTAATTGAACTTAAAGCCCTCTCAATGGGACAAAACTCATGGTCCTGTAAATATAGACACATACATATGGCTGGAGAGGTCATAGACCATAGAGAAAAGCCCATCTCTGCCAGATCTGTAGACAAATGAAGTTTCTTACTGCATGATAAATATGGATCCTTATATTTACAGACAAGTGTACCACACTCCACTCATCAAAGAACCTTATTTTTTGTTTTTTTGAAGGCTATTACAGAGTTCCATAACTGGTCACATACAGACAATATATGTTTGAGAGATGCCCAGTCTTTAGTGACACGTCTACAGTGGAACATCTACACCTAAGGCTCATGGAATATAGTGGAACAAGGGGTAGAGAGAGTACTAATACATTTCTCAACTCTCACCAGCAAAGCTTCCTCATACAACAGATACAATGCACACAAAAGGCCACAATTGGCTAAGTTTTAGAGAATAAGAGACTGCAGAGTGCATGGCCCTGGACAGGACTCCTATATTAATCCTCTCCCACCCACGGTTCAGGGACCATTGAGGAAGATGGAGCAGAAAGATTTAAGAGCCAGAGTTGGTGCAACAGTGGTGACAGCATGCACAAGACCCATGCCAACTTTATCAGACAAAACCTCAGCATAGAACAAGGGAAATGCGCATCAGGCCCACCCCTAGATGAGGACCTACTGGCAACTGAGTACAACGCTGTGAGGGAGCATAGATCTTCTTTAAGAGAGTGACTCTAAATAAGCTTGCTAAAGTCCGGTACATAAACTTTCACTGAGGGACATCTGGGTACAAATGCTTCACCAGACAGTATTTAACATATAGAGAGAATGTGTGAAATCTGATGGGGGGGGGTGTGGGTGGGGGATGGGGTCTAAATTTGATTAAGATTTATTATATGAAATGCACAAAAATCTCAATAAAATATTTTTTAAAAGCTGAAAAGCCTATTATACTATAATCAGTGAGTATTTATTAATTATTAAATTTGCTTCACATGGAGCTGTTGGCTCTGATGACTTTGAATGACCAAGAATAATTCTGTAAAATAAATTTAAGCCACTGTTGGCTTATTTGTGAAAATAGGTGTAATTTAGCAAATTTCCCCCATAAAGTCTAACTGCAGCACAGTGTTCTGTGCTTGGTCTGCAGTACAGTTGCCTTTAGTTAACTGGATGATCCTGCTCTGTCAACAAGCCTGGAATGAATTTGGCTTACTTTGGGTTATATAAATTGTAACATGGCATCTATACCATGGAGGATTTTATAGGGCTGTTTCTGCTGAAGCATCATAATTTGGTTTTGAATTAGCCATAATTCAAGAAGTTGTCTTAGTCTGCAGTATATAACCTCTGGAACCCAAAGAACAAAATATTACTATGTAAAAATGATCCATAGTCTAAAAAAATGGATAAACAAATTGAACTGAATTTCACACAATGCTGTTTCTTAATTATGCCATTTAAAGAGCCCCCCCCATTAGTCTCTTCTGCTTTATAAAAGACTATTATTTGTTCAGAAGGTCAATTTATTCAAAGAAAAATTGGGGGCTCAATGACACCAAGAAGACCCTATTGTTACTGGTTAGCAGAAACAGTAAAAATGAACACATAATAAAGTATATCTTTCTAACAAACATGTTGCAAAGAAGAAAACTGGTAATTCAAGGTAATTCATGCTTGCCTAATATTTTTCAACATTAGCCTTATATGAAAGAATTACTTTATACATACTTAGCACTAAGAATAATATAGTAAATCACTCCCAATTCAGAAAGCATAGTACTAAATCATACACATCCCCTTGGTATGCACTATGTTCAAAAGACTAATTCAGTCTTTCCTTAGCATCTGCGATGTTGGGTTTTGAGCACTGCTCTGGCCTTAGAAGCTTGGTAAGCTCCTGCGGACACAGCATGTTGGAAATGCCAGGGAATTACCAGCAGGAACCTTTGGTTAATAACGAGCTGGTGGATAGATAGTCAAATTGCTCTGCTTTTTGGTAGGATGACTTTGAGGTGTGTTTACATATTCTTTAAGAAGTCCACAATGAATTCTGGCGAAGCAGTAATTTGAATATGAGCTCAGCCTGTACAGACTCGTTTCTCTTTTCTTCCAACCTTTCTCCCACACTATTTTTTTCATGTGACAGGGTTTTGCTGTGTAGCTCATCAGTGGTGTAGATACCATGATCCTCCTGACTCCATCACTGATGTATGTTGGGGAACCCTGCTGTTTAGGGTCGCAGTCTCTCCATGTCCGGATAGCCGCAAGCCGGCTCAGCGCAAATGGAAAGACTCCTCTTCTCAGCTGGGCGCCTTCTGCTCTCCTTCCTGACTCACCTTTGAAGTGGCCGTCACAGATACATGACCTCTGGCATAGGAACTACCAGGTTTTAATCAGGCTGATAGCCTGATAGAAGCCCACCGCCACATGTAAATGGGGCATCCTAGGAGCACCTATCAGCTAAGGCTTTTGCTACTGCCTCCACACTATAAATCTTCTGGTTTTCCCCCTGATAAATCGGAGCTGAATCACTAAGATCTGGAGCTGTATCACTGAGTCTGACTGAGCTGTATCCCGTGTCTTACTGCCTACGATTCAGTCTCCCTGGAGGGGGCTATCCTTCCGTCAGCAACCACTCACGAAGATCTATCACTGTTCCTGCACCTCCCCTCGTGATCCGGTGGCCGACGGATCGCATGCACAGAGGGAGTGTCCCGCAGCTTGGAACAGAACTTGCCAGGCAGCTGACAGCGACCCACAGAGTCGCCAGCATCCAGTATCCTTGGAGAGCCAGGGACCCGTCTCAGCAACGCGGTGCGTGAAACCCAAGCACCCCAGCAACAGATGTAGATGTCATGATCCTCCTGCCTCAGCCTCCCAAATGTTGAGATTACAGGTGTGTGCCACCATGCCTATCTCTCACCCACACTTCTTTACTAATGTTTTCTTGGGATAACCCCTCAAATAAAGTATTTAGGCTCCAATCCTCCTGTTATAGTTTGTTTCTGGAAGCATCTGACAATAGCAAAGACCTTTTTAAAAAAAGATTTTTTCTTTTAAGTAAGCTTTGTTTGCAATGCCCATGGAGGTCAGAAGTGGGCCTCAGCTCCCATGTAACTGGAGTTAGGGATGGTTGTCAATCACCATGTGAGTGCTGGGAACCAAATCTGGGTCCTCTGCAAGAGTAGCCAGTGCTCTTAACAGCTGAGCCACTTCTCCAGCCCCATTAGTAAACATTTTTTGAGGGGATGTACCAGCCCATATGGAAGACCTGAGAAAGGTTACACTGTATTTACCCTCAGCAAATGACCTGCTTTGATCAAACCGCAGGAAAGCGCAAAGTTAATAAACCTCAGACTTTAAAAAATGTTTTCTTTTATATATATATATACTTTATTATTTTTATTTATGTGTACAAGTGTGCTGCCTGCATGTATGTGTATTTAACATGCCTTTAATCCTGGCACTCGGGAGGCAGAGACAGGCAGATGTCTGTGAGTTCAAGGCCAGCCTGGTCTTACATAGTGAGTTCCAGGACAGCTGGGGCTACAGGGAGACCCTGTCTCAAAAAGAAAAAAATAAATAAATAAAGGCATTTGAGTACAAAAGCCTCTATATGAAAAATAGAAGCCAAAATACATGGATAAAATCACCTTAGATACCATGTGAGAAGAATAAACCCTCAAAAATAAAAGGATAAAACTATCACTAATGTCTTTGGAGATATAAGACAACACACACACACACACACACACACACCACACACACACACACACACACACACACACACACACACACACACACAGGCACACACATGTATACCAGAATAGGATGCTGTGAAGAACTAAACAGAATGCTATGGTTTGTGTTCCTTCCAAAATTCCTACTGAATCTTGATCACCACTGTCATGATGCTAAGAAGCAGAGCTTTGGGGAGGGAATTAAATATGCTAGAAACTGAATCCAAGTTCTCTGGAAGAGCAGCCAGTACTCTTAATCTCTGAGCCATCTCACTAGTCCTTAGAGTCTTACTTAAACACAATTTACTCTCACAGATACTGTAAGGCTTACTGAGTTCTACAGGCTAAACAGCAGAGCTACATGCATTGTGGGTTAGGAACGTTGTATGGCCCTTTTCTACTGTAAGCCTCACTCAGTGATGACCACCTGCCATATCATTCACCAAGAGACTGATCAGGTGTTGTGGCTTCTTCTTCAAGGTGGAAGCTGTGAATTGAAATTATTTTCTTCTTTACTTAAAATTTTTTTTTACTGAATTTTTGAGATTTTCATGATATAATTTGATGGTATTCAGAGCGCCTCTCTTATCAATGCCTTCCCTTACTGCTCCTTGCCCAATTTAATGTACTTTATTTTATATACATAATAAACTATATTATATATAATAAAATGGCTGAGTCTGATTTGTGTCCTCAAATGTCCTTCAGATGTCCTTCATTGGGGTCTAGCTACTGATTTGGTAAATCTACCAAAAATCCAGTCCCTGCATAAGAGACTGTCCCTCCCTCTCCAATCAGCCATAAGTTGCCAGAAGTTCTATAGGTTGAGTTGGGACTTCTTGCCCACTTCCCCATGTCTATGCTGGAATTTTATCTGGTTTGCAACTGACCAGCTGTCTGGAATAGTCTGTTTCTTTGAGATCCGTCATCACCTGTGACTTACCGTCTTTCTGACTCCTCTTCAACAACGATCCCTGAACCTTGGGAGGCAGAACTTTGAAATCGGTGTCCTATTGAGGGATAAGCACTCTGCAGCCCCTTGTTCTCTGCACACTGGCCAGCTGTGGGTTTCTGTGTTAATCACCGTCTGCCACATAAGGAAACGCCTGTGGTGAGATTTAAGAGATGCATTCAGCTTATGTGTAGAGGTTGCATTGAAGATGTGTCAGTTAGGGCTAAGTGTCTTGTGAACAATTGCTCCAAGTCCTGTGTCTGAAGTACGATATGTTTTCAGCAATACAGTCTCACCTTCAAGCTCTGGGAGGCAATCAAGGACTGTGGCAATAGCCTATGTTATTTTGGGAGTCTCTTGGACTTCCATGACCAACAACTTGAAGGGAAGGTTCTCCTGCCTGGCAGTGTTCTTCTGTTATCTAGCCTCAGCTGCACACTCGCATTTGGACATATATTGTATGTGCATTTTTCAGTAGGACTTTGAACATTTCCCTGCGGTTTTTCACACCATCTAAGCACTATTTGTCTTTCCTTTAACTCGCCCCATATAGCTCCCTCTACTCCCTCTGCAGCTAAAGTACCCCCTCTTCTGTACTTCTGAAGCAACATATATGCCCCTTAATTTGTCCCAGATGTGATGAGCTTCTGATTGTTGTAAGATCTACTCCTATCCCCCGGAGCTCCTGTGTTTTACCAAAGCCTCCAACGTGCTTCAGACTTTTCACCTCTCTCTGCAATAATGCAATGCTCTCAATAGCATCAGCCAACGTGACAATCTTTTTTTTCCCCTCCTTTGGTCTTTTTGAGACAGGGTCTCCCTGTAGCCCCAGCTGGCCTGGAACTCACAGAGATCTGCTTGCCTCTGCCTCCCAAGTGCTGGGATTAAAGGTGTGCACTACCACACCCAGCTGTGTGATATTCTTTATAGAATGTTTAAGTCAGATAATGTCTAGACTCTGCATGAGAGTTAACAAAGCCCTTAAGACCATAAGTTTATGCTACTGCATGCATAATGCAAACTATATACTGTATTCTTTTGATACTGTCCTGATAAAATTGGAAAACAATGGGTTTTCTTGCTCACTGGCCTCCATAGCAAGGGCACGTCAATTTTCTCATAGTAAAGGTTCAACATATGATACAGTAGGCTAGAGCTGCTGTTCTGTTGAGTTTTTAAATTGCCATTCTCCAGGGTCTTTCTCTTTTGTGGTGCCTACCCTGATTAACTAGGTGGGGCTAGAATAGGGATTAACATTTCCATAGCCTTAAGATCCCTAAAAGCAGTCCGAATACCTGACTTTATGGATTGGGAAAACCCACAGTTTTTTACCTATGTGTCTTATCCTTGGGAATACCATGTTTTATGAATCATCTACCATGACGGTGGCTAGGCTTTCCATCTGCCACTTCAACCTGCCATTCATTATGATAACTGTACACATTACCTCTGATGGCCAAGCATTGCCCTCAGGATTCTAAATACTTCAGGATCATGCTTGTCCCACTCCTACAAGGAAGGCGAATTCTCTCCCAGCATCCCTGGGCCCGGCCTTCAGAGGATCATTATCTCTGAGCATCTCAGTAAGAGAAGCACTCCCCGCATCAGTGCTTTCTTATCACTGAGGTCAACACAATAACGCAGGAACAGATTATCTTGATGGGCTTTAAAGGCTGGGCGTGAATAGACCACCTCTCTCAACCAGGGCCCATAGTAAACTTGTTCAGGTTGGAGATTTGGCGGCTCTGTCCTGATAACTAAGTCTTGGACCCAGTCCTTAGCTTCTGTTCCTTTCTGGTTTTGTCTTTGGGCTTCCCAGGAGGCCTTCTGACGTCCACATTGTGTCTTTGCTGCTGATCAGTTGCCTTCAGTATTTCATTACCTTCTTCTAATACACCAACAGCATGCAGCAATGCATTGTGGGTTCTCTTTTCTTCTAATTAATCAGACCTCACGAACAGCTGGGACACTGTGCCCATGACTGCGTTTCCTACTTTGGGCATTCCCTCCCTGTCCATCCCAAGACTTTTACCAACTGAGTGTCTCTTTACTATCGGCACTCTGCCTAACACGGTGATGGGCTTCTCGTTGCCTATTGGCTGGTTGCTGTGACAATCCCAAATCCCAGTTTTGAGTCTGTATTCTCAGACCAGTTCTCAGACTATTTGCAACTGGATTTTCCGTGATATGACTGTGTGACCGTGTTTACTGGGGAGTGACTATGGCTTGAATATTTCTTCTCCAAAACTGTTGAAGTTTAATTGCCAATGTAATGGTATTGGAAGCTATGATTAAGTCATAAGGGCTCTACCCTTAAAATTGGGATCGATTATAGCTTATAAGAGGGATAGTGGGATAGTGGGATGGTTATTCTGTCTGTCTGTCTGTCTGTCTCTGTCTCTGTCTCTGTCTCTCTCTCTCTCTCTCTCTCTCTCAGGATCCAGGCAGTATGTCAGACACAAGCTCAACAGATGAAAAATGGCTTCATCACACTCCACATGTGCTGCACCTTGGCCTTTGACTTTGCAGCTTCTGGAGCTGTGAGACAACACATTTCTGTTATAAAATATCTAGTTTTGGCCACGTGTGGTGGCACACGCCTGTAATCCCAGCACTCAGGAGGCAGAGGCAGGCGGATCTCTGTAAGTTCAAGGCCAGCCTGGTCTACATAGTGAGTTCCAGAACTGCTGGGGCTACAGGGAGACCCTGTCTCAAAAAGACCGAAAAAAAAAAAATCTAGTCTCTGACTTTTTATTATACTAGTGCAAAAAAACCCAAGAATATTCTAGATTTGGGGAAATAACTGTGAGTAAAGAAAGCAGGATTGGGCAGAGGGAGAAGTTTCTCTGTAATTTAGGAAAACCAAGGCCCGTTGTCCATTTAGGCCGTTTCTCTAGTCTACTCCTCCACACCTGACCTGGTGTGCCGCTCCTGGGGAGGGTGCACAGCCTTGGGCAAAGCAGCTTACACTTTTCCATCACACTCCTTTATTCAATCTGGTATATAGATTTTTTCCCTACAAAAAATAGGAAAATACAGTTTTGTAACCTTCCTTTCTTCCCTGCAGTACTTAAAATACTGTGAATATTTTCCCATGTAGCAAATATACTTGAAATGGTAAATTTTGGCTTCTTGTACCTAAGGAGTGAGAGTTAGTGGTCAAGTACCCTACCCTGGTTGTTGTAAATCCTTAACTTTTTGATATAAAAATTCTAGCATCCTAATTTACCAAGACTATGAAAGCCTCTTGGACATGTATCTCTTCCCCTAGATATATCCTAAATTTCTTACCTTTCTCAAAACCCCTCAGATCACTTGAGAGAAATTGTGGATTCAGATTTAAGTTTCTGCAGATTAAAGGTAACTCTGTGATTGCAGAAAGGCTGTTGTGGTGAGGACACCAGATCACAAAGGAAAGACTGTGGAGGATTTACAATCACTTGTAGACAAAGCCTGCTGCTCCTAATACCACTGGTGGATCTCACACTACCCAAGGCCTGCCATGGCTCACATCCAGACTCAGAAATGGTTTTTCATTTCTTTAAGTTGAAATCTGTGCCTACAATTGTAAAATATTTATGCATCCTTGACCAAACTTTATTAAGACATTCCTTTAAAGAGTATTTCTTATTCTTTCATTGCATTCATATAATTATCATATTAATCTATATCTTTCTTGCAAATTTTATTCCTCCTCTACTTTGGAATAAGCTTACCATCACTAAATCTTGCTTTGACATGGAAAAGTTGTTTTCCCTTACTTATATTTTTTGTGTTGATTAAATTTTGTCGTGTTTTAGAACCTGAGAGGGAGTGGTGGACAGGGGAGAAGTTGGTGGGTCAAGAGATAGAAAAATGCGAAGACAATACTCATGTATGAAATTCTCAAAAATAAAAAATTAAAATAAAAATTGTCATGTTTTATAATATAGTGGTTCGGAGATGAGGATTGGAGAAGTCATGTTGCTTAAATTATAGAAAAAAAATTCTAGTTAATTGAATGACCTGGGAAAGCACAATGACACACATCCTAGAAGTTATCGTGCAAATTCAGAGATGTACAATGCTGCCTCTCGAGTTAGGCTTGATTATTCTGGTTATAACACTGAGCCTCATGGTATGGAATCAAATAGGAACTCTAGTTCCCTCAGAACATACCGTTTTAGGAAGCTTGATGAAACCACAGGAAACAGAAATGTCCAGTTCTAAAATTCCTTTCTTCAGGGACTCCTATAGACTTGGTCACCTGTCACAGAAGTGGATGTTGCCAACTAAAGTTGTTTAAAATAAATATTTCTTAACCTGTGTAGAGGTAATCAACCTTCAGGAGTTCATGGATAAGTGAATCACACTCAGGAAGGAACAAACAGGGGCAATAGTGGCCAAAGGGTACAGGGAGGAAGGGCATTCTGTGTTGGAATCAAAGAGCAATTCACAGTCCTTGGAGGCATTCACAGAGGACAGCAGTCACAAGGCGGGCACAGGAGCCTTGATGCAGTCAGGCGAGACTACCACAGCAATTTATAAACAGCCACTCCCTAACTCCCAGTCAGATGGTGTGCTGGGTATAGTAAACCTCTAGCATCTTATGGAATCTTTTTCAAAATACTTTTGCTATGTTTTACAACTCTTCCAATTACAAAACCAATACAAGCCTACCTCAGAAAAACCAGAACATATAGAAAAATGAAACAACTAACCCAAATAATAAAATCTTTTTTCCAGATAACTAGTTTAGCAAGTTCATGCTATTCAATCATATATTTTCTAAAATTTTTTTAAAATCCTATATATAGTGCATTACAATCTATTTTTTCACTTAACAGTACACTTAGTTGGGGTCAGGGAGATGACTCAGTAGAACGTTGCAGTCAGCACACCTGACAACCAGAGCTTGGATTCCTAGGAGCACATGAAAGCTGGACACAGTTTGGTTTTGACCTCCAAATGTGTGTCTTGGTACATGTGCACTCTCACACACAAACATACACACACACACACATATATGTAAGCAAAGATAAATATGTTAAAATAAAAAATACACTTAGTTCAATAGAGCTATTCCTAAATCATGCTAATGTCAACAAGGTATTATTTTATAGAAATGTTTCGTAATTTGACTAGTCCAAGGGGTGGATATTTATAGTGTTTGAAACGCCCACTATTACAATGTGCTTATTTACTTTTTGGGAAACTCCTAAACAGACTCAGCCCTAGGCCTGCCAGCTCTCACAGGTGTGTGTGAGTGTTTTTGTTACTAGACTGGATCAGAACTTGGCTCGTGGCCTGCAAGTCTTTTTGTCCTAATCCACTATAGTTGTCCCTGGCTGGCCTGCATTAGGGAATGCGTCAACCCAGGAACTTTGCTGTGTAGGACCAGATTCTATCACTGAATTGTCCTGAAAAGCAGTTTATAGAAATAAAGATGCATCTGCAGTTGAAAAACACAAAGAGAGATATTCTGTAATAGTTCAGTACATTGCTCAGGAGGAATATCTAGTATGGGTGTCTGTGTATGTGTACATACATGTAGATTTTTTTTTTCTTAAAGGAGTTTTGTTTCTACAAAGGGTTAGCTTGGCCAACTTAAGAAGAATAAAAGCAAGCCCCAAACAAATATTCTTTTGACTTGGGCAGTAGCAAATGAATGAATAACTAGTGCAAACATGATTGCTGGTTAAGTACACTGTATCTCTTCTTAGAAGTTTATGCTGAAACCGGCAGAGTACGAGCATTCCTCGGCTATCTGAGCAATAAAATGCTCACCTTAGTCCTTTTCCCCTTTATTCAAGAGATAAAAAAACTACTGATGGTGGACTTATTTAGCTGGAATGTGTGAGGAGAGCTTGGAAGGAGCTATGTATGCAGACAGAGGAAAACTCCCAAACTGGATGTCTGTGAGCTCCAGCTTTTTTTAAGAAACATTTTTTATTTTACTTACTATTTCTCTCTCTCTCTCTCTCTCTCTCTCTCTCTCTCTCTCTCTCTTTTTCATTTGTTCTTGGTTGAAATTTATTTGATGATTATATCCCATGCATGCACACATGCCATGACCCACATGTGGATGGCAGAGAACAATGTCGGGAGTCTGTTCTCTCCTCCCACTGTGGGATCCCCAGGCTGAACTCATCCATCAGCTTTGCATGGCAAGCACTTTTACCCACTGAACCATCTCACTGGCCTCCAACTCTTTCCATAGGTGGCAGGAGACATACATAACAATTCTCTCCAGTCAGTGAAATTAAGGTGTATGTTTAAGCCAGGAAAAATGGTATGGATGTTGCCTACATTGTATTTCCTGTTGATCTGTGGTGAAACTCATAGAAGAGTGAAGTGTTCTCTTCTCAGAGCTAGGCATCAGCTTTCCTGCTGTGATAGCAGTCAGGAGAGTGTGGACTTTGGAGCCAGAGCCCTGTTCATGCCCTCACTGGGCCGCTTTCAAGCTGTGTGGCTTGGAGTTAGTGACCTAGCTTTACCTACATTGCTTTTCCAACTGAAAAATGGGATCTAACCCTCTAGTTAGTGAGACTGTAGAAAGGGAAAAGGAGTTGGCACAGTTTCTGCTCACTAAGGTCTTTTTCCTTCTTTCTGTGTTCTGCTGGAAGGGCTTTCTCTAAGAGAGAGCTGTTGTCAGGTAGGATTATGGCAAAGCCCTCATAAAGTTGCGTGCTGGTTGTTTCAAGTACACAGGCTACATGCAGCTTTGGGAGGCTAAGATGCAGGCTGAGGGCAAACAGATACTTGGCTGCATATGCGACAGATTGGTCACTAGTGTTAGAAAATGTTAGATTGGGATTGATCAGGGTGACTCAAAAATGAAAGAAGAGAACCACCTCAGGAACAGATTGTTCTTTATTAAGAACAATGAAGGTGGTGAAGTTTCTCCAGGGATTTGAAACTGAGCCCTCAGGCTGCCTATAAGGGTTGGAGGATTAGGAAAGGAAGAGGTTAGACCTATTTTAGTAGTCCAATGTAAGTGTCTGTGACACGGTTTGGAGGTTTTGAGACAATAGGGGCTGTTATTTGCTTTCCCAGATAACACAGCTTCCAGGTTTGGGGTTTTACACAGTTCCTGGGTTGGATATTAGCTAGCTCAGATCTGAAGTTTAACTAAGGTTTACTTAACTGGCATGGGCCTTTTGGAAGTTAGCCAGGGGCCCTTTTAAATCCAGGCGTTTATCCTTCAACTGGGATTCTTGCCTGTCTGGGGAGCAGAACTTTTTCCCCACTTAGTTGATAGTCCCATTCTTATTTGGGTTTGCCCTAGAGTTTGAAGAGGCTAGAAACTAGGGCAGTGAGGGAGGCCCAAGGCTGACTTGAGAACTAGCCTTGCCAGTATTTTTGCCTCTGATGAAGGGACCACTGACATTTTCTCCCCTTCTAAGACTTTTGAAATCACTACCCTTTGGCAAAATTAGAGCACACTACTTTTCCTTAGGGAGGTCCTCATTCCCCACTGCCCTCGCCAACCTTCCCCGAGGCTCCTTTCCAAGATGGACTAACCCTTTGATTCTGACAGTGAATGTTGAACTTCAGACCTTCTGTAATGGTGGCTGGTAGGCACCCTTGGCCACCCAAATTACTTCCGCATGTTGATCTAGTATATTAGTGTAACTAGAGCTGTAGGGGAAAATGCACTGGCTCCAGGACAGGCTAGGTTCAGTCACCCATTCCAGTATCCTAAGGAAAGTGGTAGCAATGAGGTAGAAAATAGAGATTTGATCCACATGCACCGGGAAGAAGAGCAGAAGACCCAAGTTCATCCTTGGCATACTGATACGCGCTTGAGGAAGAATTGGCGCAAAGAGCAGGAAGCCTGCATAGTTCATGAGATCTGGTCAAGGTGGGGTCTGCCTGATCAGTGACTCAGCTCTCATTCTGCAGTGGTCCAGGGAAGTTTCTGCCTCTAACACCTTGAGGGAAGCTATCTGATTTCTATAAGATCATTAATTCTGTTCCAGGATGTAGCCCCTCCATCACAGATAATTGTTCTTATCTTGGTCATAATCTGTCCTGTCTGCAAAAAACTGGTACACCTGGACTCCAAGTTAACTGCAGGTTTAGCAAAAAGACTGTGTCTTCAGCCTCAGAGGGGGATGAGCTAGGTTGGGTATCTCTGCTTTTTTACCCAAGCATTCTTTAGTGATTTTCATGCTTACATAGAGTCAAATGGGAGTTGGTGCAAAGTAAAGGAGACAGACACAAAATGAAGGCAGTTTCCAGGCGGAATTCCACATGCTGTAAATTACCATGCCTAGCCATGTGACAGGCAAATGCTTTTAGCAAAAGCAGTGTGTGTGCATGTTACATCAGCATATATTTAGATGATAAGTCAGAAAGGACATCTTTGCCCTCTACTCTTAGATCCTAGGAACAATTTGGTGAATTACCAGTAAGCAACATCAGTATCAGATCAAAGCAACATCAGTATCAGATCAAAGCAACATCAGTATCAGATCAAAGCAACATCAGTATCAGATAAAAGCAACATCAGTATCAGCTTTTCCTTTACCCTTTTCAGCCCCAAACATGCCACATCCAATTTGTCTTTTTTTCTAACTGTGAAAGGCTTAATCTCATCACCACAGTCAAGTATTCTCCAAAGGCTTGACCTATGAGGAAGAGCACTGATAGCAGAGTTAATCTCTCCAGGTCCCAGAAAGAGATATCGTCCTTCTTCCTTGCATAAATGGATTACTTTGACTGAGAATAAAAACCTAGTTACAGAAAAGTTAAGTCTCTTTAATAAAAGTGTTAACCCGTGGATCATACTTGATTGCTTTGTGGATCTCTCGCTCTCTCTTTTTCCCTTATGGATCATAACTAATTAGAAAACAAAACAAAACAAAACAGACCTTGTCTTGTCTTAAATCAGCACTTCTTAGCTTTAGAATTCTCAGTGCCTCAGAACAAGCCAGAGGGCTTGTCTTAGTCCTTAGACTTTTCAGATCCTCTTCATTCTGATGTTCTCACTAACCACTGGAACCCTTACAAAGGGGGACCTCTCTGTGCTTTGTGAAGTGGAGTGTACTAGATTCAAAACAGGAAGACTAGGGTTCCAGTGGCAGGCTGCCAGGAACAAATACAATGCTTGTATTCAGACTTGATGGAAGGATCAGATAAGGTGCTTTATGGTAGAATACACAGCACAGTCTCAGCTTAACTTACTGTAGATAGCTTTCAGTAGCACAATTTTATCTATTTAAGCATAAAAGATTCATTTGAATCCCTAGGGTTGAAATCTCTAGCATCATGAACCATCATGATAATAATAGCAATAAATGACTTCGTCACTATTCATTGTACCTTCTACCCTGAGCACGTAACATAATGTGTTTATATCTTTCATGAATCTTGGACTCCTAAAGAGCCCAGTGGGTAAGGCACTTGTGCCAAGAGTGATGACCTGAGTTTGATCACCAGGACCAATGTGGTAGAAGGAAATAATGGACTCCCACAAGGTGTCCTCTGACCTCCACACTCATGCCCAATACGTACATGCACACACACACACACACACACACACACACACACACACTAAATAAATATAGTGGAAAAAAAACAACAAAAATGAAGAACCCTCATAAAAATCTACTTAGGACTAGACAGTATTTAAGTTTTTCTTGAAGTCTTAAGCCAAGGGAGTTGCAGGACATGAATGAATCCAGCCTATATGCACAATCAACTATAAAATGGGGCTGGAAATGTAATTCAGTAACAGAGCACTTTCCTAGCATGGATAAGGCCCTAAGTTCAATTCCTAGCACTGAAAAAAAGTATTATAGCCATAACTGCCATGCATCCATACCAAGGAATATTATTCAGAACTAAAATATTATTCAGAACTAAATATTATTCAGTAACTAAGTCACAAAAAGACATGAAGGAAATTTGGATGCAGATTCCTGGTGGAATGAGAATACCCTAAAGAGACCCTTGTGTCCCTCCCTTTGGCTATCAGACCCTGGTCCCTAAGAAACTGGAATTTCCCTATGACTTTCACCCTGGGAGGAGGGAAGGCAAGGCCCTAGGGATAGTCAGAGCAGGTGTTTATTTTGGTAAGGAAGATTTACAACTTGTCAGGCCTTGCAAGAGAGACTGGCCTTGCAGGTAAGACTGGAGCTGAGACAGTAGTCAGGGTGGAGGACCATGCTTAAGGGACTGCTTAATTAGGTGTATTTTGTCTTCTATTACTTCTATTACTTCTATTACTAAAGTTCCTGGAAAGAAGTTGCACCTATAAAGGCTGATGGACTGATTTGAATTTCAGTGATTTTGGAGAGTTTGGAGTGTTGCAGATCCAGAGCCAAATACCTGGGACTGTCCTGGCCCATTGAATAAACATTTATTTCCCACCTTTGTGTATGACTAACCATCCTGTGACTATTAGGCAAGTCCTTTTGTAATGTATGAACAGATGTCCAACTTTCACCAACCCAAAGCTAAGATTGCCATCAGAGAGCACCTGTGACCTATAATAGAGGTTTCCCTGCTTTGCTGTGACTTGCCTACCTGTAGAACCCTCCAATGTATTTGAAAAGTGTATTTATTTGTACGTTTCTTTGTTTTGTTACTATAAATACTTGATGAAACTGTTACTGTGGTTTGGTACCCAACGTGGGACCCTGGACAATCTTTTTTTACTGGAGGAGTCACCCATATTGGAACCAAGTACCAACATGGGCCCCTTGTGCAATTTGGCACTGCCTCTTTGAGTGAATGAATATTGGTGAGCTTTTTCTGGGGCTCAGACCTCCTTTGGTTGGTTGGTTGGTAGTCTATTAGTTTAGTCTGAGCTGGTTGTTTAGGGCTGTTATTAGAGTTATTAAAAGTCAGAGCCTGGGCCCCAACAGCCCCAACTGACCCAGTTTGCTCATCTAGCCTTAAGAAGTCAATGAAATATAGTAAAAAAAAGCACAAAATGGAGATTTATTCAATGTGGCCACATTGGGAAGAGGGACAAAGACATCCAGTGGCAATCCCTCACCCTCTAAGTCCATCTTTGGAGCCCTAACATGAGGGTAGGGTTTAAACAGAAGACAAGGGATATGTATAGTTAAGCAGCTCTGGTCAAGGTGTGGTCCTACACATCACTGACCCATTACTGTCTGGGCTTTAGTCTCATCCTACAAGGTGATCTGTCAGGATGTTGAAACTGTGTGAAATCTCATTCCAAGAGATAAGTTTCTCCTCTGACTGGCACCAGACTTCAGCGTTTTCCTTCTCCCAGCATGAGACTCCTGAGGAACCTCCAATTCCATGTTTCTGATAACTAAAGGGAGGGATACCCACATTCCTCCGGGGCTGGTTACATTCCCCCACTCTTCATTACAGCACCTCAGTGTCGAGATGGAATATGTCTGTGTCTAAGGCAAGTATCAGCAACAGCATAGAAGTAGGGATCAAGGTTAGAACACATTCAATTAGTGCCAGGTAACCTTGCATAAGAACCACTTCTTCATAGCTCGGTGGCTTTTAATTACTTTGGGAAGGGCTGCCGCACAAAACCATCCTGTTGGTTTGACACAGGATCGCACCATAAAGCCCATGCTGGACTCTAACTCACAGTTCTGATGCTTCAATTTACCAAGTGCTGGGATTACAAGCAAGAGCTGCCATGCCCAGTGACTTGATTTCAATTGTAACAACTTCCCCTTGATTTGGAACAATATTCTCTGAAGACAATGCTGATTAACCATCTGGCGACTTGCTCTCTATTGTCATTTGTCATCAGGATAAGAGTTATCCTGATTTGTGACCACATTGAGGGGAGGGAGGGATAAGTGACAGAATTAATTGGTTAGTGCCAATAAACCCTTTGTGATCAATTCTAAGCAACTAAGAGGTATAGAAGAGGTGGCTATTAGGCCAGACATACTTGGAGTCCATTATTTTCTGTACTGGGAGTGGGTAATGTCCTAGCACTTCAAAATATTTTGTTCAATGACCAGGCATAGCGGCACACATCTTTAATCCCAGCACTTGGGAGGCAGAGGCAGATGAATCTTGGTGAGTCTGAGGCCAGTCTGGTCTACATGGTGAGTTAGAGGTGAACCAGGCTACGCAGTGAGGCTTTGTCTCAAAAAGAAAAAAAAAGTTTTGTTCACAAGCCACACTTCTATAGAATATTAGCAGATATTCATTATGAGGCAAAAAAAATATTAGGAGCAAATACTTTTGCAGAATGTTAGTAGACAATAATTACAAAGCTTTCCAAAAACACAACCACCCAAAGTGAAACTAATTTGAAAATTAAGTACTTATTTATAGATTTACCAATGTCCAAAACCTTTTTATTATTAGGAGGCACTGTTTGGGTGCTCAGTTTTAGGGCCTAACATTATCCTTCCTCAAGAGAACAGTCAGAGTATAGTTAGGAATACACAAATGTAAGACTTGGAAAACGTTAGCATCATCATTCTATTTTAGAAGATACCACTTTGGATACTAATTTTGCATCTTAGAAAGCTTGCACGTATAAAAGAGCCAGCAACAATTAGTATTATTACATAAACAAAATATACAAAAATCATGTGTGTGTGTGTGTGTGTGTGTGCGTGCGCGTGTGTCGTCAGTTTCTACTACTGAAGCAAAAATCAGAATCTTTGAATCAGTATGATAATAACATTGACAAAAATAAAAAATTTGGACATCGTACAATTTATGGATTGTGTGCAAGTGTATCTCATCTATACATTATATATATACACATATGTTCATATAGTATATATTATATATATACAGTAACTAAATAAGTGTATTTAGCCAGGCAAAGAAAATAACTATAGACAAGGATTTAATTTATTTTTAAAAATATTTTATTTATTATTTTTATTTTATGTGTATGAGTGTTATGCCAGCGTGTAGGTAATTGAACCCGTGTCATGCAATGCCCGTGGAGGACAGAAGAGTCTGACAGATTCCCTAGAACTGGAGTTATGGATAGTTGTTAGCTGCCATGTGGGTGCTGGGATTCAAGCCCAGGTCTTCTACAAGAACAGTCCCTGTTCTTAACTGCTGAGCCATTTCTTCAGCCTCTAGACCAGGAATTTAAATTGCAAGTTTGCCCAAATGACAAGTTGTGCATCTGAATATACATAAAATAGCACTTATCACTTTGCACATGTTAAGCTTACATGTCTTTTCCTCTGAAAACCTTTGCATAATATATGAGGTTCGAATACCCAGTTACACATACTTCTGAAAGTCAGAGATACATGGGACATTAAGTGTACTAAAATTATTTTAAAATAGTTGTGTACAAAGCACGTCCAGACTTTAACACAGATGCTTAAATGCACCTTGACTTTGTTAAGACAATTTCCTATATAGTCAAAAGTCTGAACTGTAAATAGCAGAAGACATATCAGTTTTTTAACAACCTTGTCTTTTGAGCTAATTGTAAAGTGACACTGAGAGCAGAACAGTATCATGAGAAAGTCTTACTGACTTAGATACAAGAATTGGGTTCTAGCTTTGCTTTGGTGCTTTACTCACAACACTGATATTTTACTTTATTATTATTATTTGAGATACAGTCTCACCGTGTAGCCCTGACTGGCCTGGAATTTGCTATGCAGACCAGACTGACCTCAAACTCATAGAAATCCACCTGCCTCTGTCTCCTGGGTGCAGGATTAAAGGTGTGTGCCGCCATGCTCAGTACACTGATATTTTAAAACTAGATGAAGATTTTTATAATTGCTTGCTAGGATACAAATTTCTATTTTTTTCTTTTATATTCTTCTTAGCCTTCATTTGTAGTAAAGAGAGACCAGATTTCCAGCATAAATAGAAAAAGATCCCATAGCATAACTTTTTAAAAAAAGTTTATTTAATAACCACATGATTACTAGAAGCATTTTGTTACAACAGCATTGACATAGTCAATAATAGTTTCCAGAGCAAAGATGCATCTCTTTCAAAATTAGCTGTAATTTTTAAGCTAACAGTGTTGAATTAATACAGTTA